TGATCAGTGTAACAATGTAATAGAGGTTCCAGAATGAGATTTATATTATGAAGCATAACATTTAAAAAAGAGAGTTTAATTTTGAGTGAAAACAGTTAACTAGCTAAATGAATGGTGTTGATGTAACTGATCATCAGAAAGAAAATTAAAATGGAAACTTCTTAGTCACATTGGGTTGAGAAAAAGAACACTTGAACCAAGACTAAAACATAGAAACTACAAGGGAAAGAAATCATACTAAAACTGCACACCATTTAAAGATTACTTTGGACTTCAAAAGATAAAACATTAAAATTACAGATGTGAGAAAATATTTGCACATGATGACAAAGGGTTAATGTTTTATGAAAAGCTGAGAGAGAGAGAGCTCATGTAATTTGATATAAAAGTACAATTAAGTTCTTCTTCTCAAAAAGGGAAAAATAGCAAAGGATATAATTAGAAAATTCACAAAGGGTAAGAAAACATATTAGAGGATGCTCAAATTCAATAGTATTAGGACAATATAAAAACATCAGTAAGATGTCATAAGTAATCCATCAGACTGTGAAAAACTCAAGAAGGGTAGTTCACTTATTGCTAATAAGAGTGTGGGGTAAAGAGAATTTCCATATTTTGCTGTTAGAATTCTCAAATATTATAGGCCTTTTAGATGCTGTTGGTGGCAAATTTTTAAAGACATGGAAATAATCCTTATATGCATGAAGCTTTAAGTATGAAAAGAAATCCTATAGAGTTTTGTAGAGTCTGTGGATAGAGATTGACCTCAGTAGTGCGACAGCCTGTCGGTTTAAAGGAAAAAAATCAAAACACAAGGTAGAAGACCTCTTTGGCCTTGTCACCACTGCCACCACCCCCACGGACTCTGGCCTTAGAAGGTAGACTTTCTTCTGTTCGTGAGGTCCTCTGACATCTCTATGCCTCTCACATCTGCTTTGGCCTAGAGTAATTTTCATTCTTGCCCTGTCCAGCTTCACAATTCCTTTTAATTAGCAGCCCCTCTTTTGTACCTTCTCTGATGCTTTGATTTTTGATTCCCTTCTGCTACCATAACTATTTGTTTCTATGGCAACCAGAATATTCTTGATATTATCTTGTAATCAATTATTAACTTCATGTCTCTTCCACTATATATTCGAAACTCCCTAATAAGGACAGTGACCATGTGTTTATTTACTGTGTATATCCAATCCCTAAGGACTAGCTCGTATTCAATAAGTTCCCCTTGCAACATAGCCAGGAACTAAGTAAGCTTTAAAGAGCCTTGTGATCCTGACACTGGAGTCAATCACTCTGTTCTCAGTTCTGAACATGATCACTGAGTCATACAGAAGCTTAATAAATATTTACAGAATAAATTTTTTAATGATTCTGCTAGGAACAGCTATTTCCAATAGAAGCAGTATCTATAGTAAAAATGCTTTCTAACATCCATAACCAAGTTAATCCTTAGAAGGAAGGAAGGTGTCCACATTATGCTCTTGGAACCCAGATGCATGCCTCGCCATCATTATCTAGGTCCAGTACTGAACCCCGAGCTCAACTTAACTATTCCAGAAGTTCTGACTTGAAGGCATCCGGATCTACACTGTAGATACAGACATTTCCAATGCACAGAACAAGCATGCATCTTAGTTGCAAGCAATTAGAGCTAACTCTGGCAATGTTAATTTAAAACTGAAACTAAGTTTATTTCAAGGCTATTGAAGCTCATAGAATCTGGTGATGCACTGTGTATAGAAGAAATTATGGGAGGGAGGTAGGAAGACTGGGCAACAGAAGTCACAACCAGTATGACACGAGAACAGGCATCACTGTGTGCTATTGCTACTGATAGCCATGCATCTGACCTCCAAGCCCCCCTGACATGCCCTGGCACAGTGAGATGGAGCATCTGACTCCTGCAATAGCAAGAGGTGGCCATGTTGTCCAGGGAGATCAGGATGTTAATGGTGAGAAACTCTAGGGCACTGGGCAGCCAAAAAAGGGACAGAGTTCAAGGTCAGAGGGTTTTGATACAAGGTGTTACCCACCAATGGGACAGACCACCACATCCCCCAACCCTAAAACTGAGTCAAGTCAGGAATTGATAACAGTGTCTCAAGAGAGGAATCCAAATTTGTTCATAACAAAATGTTGCTGCACATGTTAACAATATGATGTGTCACCCCCTTGGACTTCAAAGGACATCAGAGACCAGAGTGTGAGAATGCAAGGATGAACTTTAAAAAAAAATGTTTAGTCTTGGTAACTATAATTTTAGAACCCTTAGAATCAATCTGACATGTCACCTGCTATTACACAGATTGTGTGCCTTTTAGGTACAGGGGCCCAACCACACTATAAATTTTAAAGAAATGTAACAAAAGGGAGACATTTCAGGAGGTGCTGGAGAGGGCTTGGGTTTCCTGGGTGTGTGTGGCAGGAATGTCCTTGCCAAACTACTTCACCTTCAGCTGGCGCAGAAGCACTCGGCAGGCTGGACACAGGGGTATAACTTAGCTCTCCAGGCAGCCTTGTATCTAACACTGTGAAAGAAGACGGAACAAAGGGGAAAGAAAACATTTTCTAATTCCTTAATTAGCATTTCTTAGAATATTTCATAAACTAAATCCAGAAACTTTTCATTTGGAGAATTTGGTTGGTATCATTAAAGTAAATGGAATAGATGAAGAAAAATCTTAGTATAGAGCCTAAATTTTTTTTTTGCATTTGAATAAAACATAGGAAAGAAAACATTGCAAATGAGCAAGTAGCTATCCATGGAAATGTGTCAAAGTTGTTCACAAATTCGGTAGGAGAATTATCTCATCAGGGTTTAGTATTTTGAGCAATGATATTGATAGATATGGAATCCTCACTTAATTCAGAAATATACTTACATCCGAATTTGTGATAATTTTATATATACAGTGATGAGACTAATATACACATGCAGCATAAGACCTCTTATGGTTACAGTGTCAGGTAGGTGTAGGAGTGTTTCCATATGTCCATGCTCATGAGGGTAAGGAGGAAGTGACATTTATCACTGTGCAGATAGTTTCTCACTTTGACAGTGTGGCTCACTGTGACTCCTAAAGTTCTTGCTAACTTTCATGCTAAATGGAGAACATTACTTGTGATATTATATGCTGAGAGTAATTAGCAAATTTGGTTGATGAGGTTATTTTGGGCAGAATTAAATGAACATGAGGGAATTGGCTTCTCCGGGTCCTAGAGTGACTGGTGTTGGTGTAAATGTACCCTTGGCGAGTCAGCCTTGTACAGAGATAGATGCATGATTCAGTGCTTTTTGAATTTCCACGTATTTTAGGCTTAGATCAATTGCTTTGTTAACTTTATAATTCATTCTATTCTGGGATTCATTTTGTAACATTCACACCAAAATGATGTCTTGTGATTTGGTGTGAATATAAACAATCTATCTGGGCAGTTCAATTAATTCACCATAAGCCTGGTTTAATGACAGCAATTATTGTTGACAGTGAAGCTTCCTTGAGTGAAATGACTCTTTTCAAGATGTGAGAATTAATCTTTCTACCTATAACTTTAGGAATTCAAAGAAGAAAAAACAATTCAGAATTCTCATATTTAAAAAGCAACTATTGCATAGATTGGCTCCAAAATCTCTGAGACATGTTTAATATCAGTTCACAAAGACTTAATATTCTCAAGAGAAAAAGAGCTCTAGACACACAAAATAAAGTCATGAGAGTCTCATTCTCAGCGAGCAGCCCTGTGAAGGAGAGAAGACCATTGTTCCTTCAGTCTCCACTGGTCCTTAATAAGTACCTGCATATGAGAAAATCACAAGAGAAAAGGAGGGAAAGAGTGGGAGAGAAAGGAAGGAAGAAGGAAGGAAGAAAGAGAGGGAGGAAGGGAAGGGGAGACGAAGTGATGGAGAAACAGGACTGAGGAAGGGAGGTGTTCTTAAAGGGGGAGAAGTAACAGATGACCTAAGTACTAGAGAGATCGGGCAGCAAGGTTTATATTAACTGGGAGGGAAGTACTGAAAAGCTAGTGGGAAAGGGGGGGGACAAGCTCAAAAGGAGAAAGCTTAATGGAAACCTCATCTAAAGGAAATGGAAAATTCCAGAAGTCAAATGGAGAGACTGGAAAAACAGAAATGTAATTTTAGAAATAAATAATTATTAAAATGTGGTCAACAGTAAACTGTACACAGCAAATGAATAGATCAGTAAAATAGAAAACAAGCCACAGGAAGCATATAAATCGAAGTGTGAGAAGCAAAGAGAGAAGTGAAAAGGAAACTATTCAAGAAACAGGAAGCAATAGGAAACAATTCTCAATTGTTTTTCTTCTTTGAATTATTAAAGTTATAGGTAGAAAGATTAATTCTTACTTGAGTCTATGGGGCAAAAGAAACCTCTGAGCAATCATGATGGAGACCTGTGAAAACCTGGTAAAGGTTATGAACCCACAGGTCCAAACAGCTCGGCAAATCTCAAGCCAGGGAAACACAAGTCGTGACGACACTAAGCCTGTTGGAGCCAAGCTGCTGAACCCAGAGAGAAAGAAGAAACTTTGGAAATAGCCCGGGGAGTAGGGAGGAAGACACATTTCAAACTTAGAAAAAGGGGCGGAAATAAAATTGCATTTCTCCCTGAATACTGAGGGCCAGATGCCAGGGAAGCCAGACCTTTAGAGTGAGGAAAGAAAGAGCTATCAACAAACTCTATGTTCACCAAAAAATAGTTTCCAAAAATGAAGGAAAAATTAAGAAATTATTGCTGAGACAATAGCTGAGAGTTTCTGTCAGCTTTTTTAAAGAAATGCTGTAAGTTCTCTAGGCTAAAGGGTGATGATACTAGGGTAAGGCCCCGAAATCTCTAAGAAGAAACGAAGATCATCAGCCCAAGTAACTCTCTGGGCACATTTTCAGTGCCTCTGAAAATCTCTCTCTCTCTCTGTGTGCAATTATATTTCTTTGAAAGACTATTAGCTATTTAAGGCTGAACTATAATAAGGTAGTGTGGGTTTGCGGTATATATAGGAGGGGACCGTAGGACCAGACAAGGCAAGGGGTGGGCAGTTAAGATGAGACGCTGGTGCTCTTCGTGAAGTGGCATAATATTGAAGAGCTCCCAGTGAGCTCTCCAAGAAGGGACTCATCAGGAGTGTCCTTGGCATCCCGTTTGTGGAACAGAGGGACTTAAATGGGATCAGGGAGAAGGAGATTTTCAATGAAGAACCAGTGAAAGCCTCATGCATCCTCCTGTGAGTGTTTGGAGCTGCCATGGTCTTTCGGATGTGTTCTGGATTGGAAGAGAGCCTGGCCTTTTCACCCGTCAGGAGCCGTCTTAGATACTGACATCTCCTGAAAGGGGACGGAGCTTTGAAGAGGCTGTTTTCTTCCACGGAGGTCATCCCTGAGATAACTGACAGCTGAGGACTGTTTTATAATTGCATAAGACACAGCAGGGGCCATGAGGTCTTAATTTCTGAAGGAGGAGCTGGGCAGTACAAGAGAGAGAAGTGTGTGTGTGTGTGTGTGTGTGTGTAGAAATTAACGGAAGGTACACACCAGAATCTTAATATTGGTCACCTCAGAGACTGGAATTGGGGTGTATGCAAATATTAATTTTACCTTTATATAGCTTTTCACTATCACATCTTTAACAAATGTAACATTTGCCAATATTCTTTAAATTTCGTAAAGATTCTCACAATGGAATTTTAATTCCATGATTCTCCTGCATTCCATGTTCACTATACTTCTTGGAACTCTGTATTTTTTTTGTATTTCTTGAGACTCAATGGTCATCATCATACCAATCACAGCTTAAAGAAAAAAAATTAATTCTTTAACAACTTTATCAAATTTGAAAAAGATTTTCTGTATTCTGTACATCAGATTTTCTTCTCATTTTTAAAGCTGTGAGTGGGAGAAAAATCCTATTCTTACTTCTTGGTTGCCAACCACGGATAAGTCTCTTTGAGCAGAAAACCAATTAGAAGTTATTCTTATGCTATGGTTGGATGTAAGAATGCTTTCAAATTAAAAAAAAAAAAAAGAAAGTCACAAAGCTTACTGCACCATTAGTGAATAATAGATTTCCTTTGGTTTGAGGTAGAATTTGAATTAAATTAATAGCTTTGTGGCATTTCAGTTTTTTAAAAAATCAGTAATTCTGAATTACGGATTGTACGAGTTTATGGAGAAAACTAAACGTAGCCCAAGATGAATAACCGAAAGAGCTGCAGGAGGGCAGAATGATTTCCTCCATCACAGGTATGTCAGAACACTTCTGTTTTCTCCCATCGTAAAGGAACTATGAGGACAAATGTGGAAGTAACTATTAACTACTAGCATTAATAGTCTATTATTTTAAAGGGAAATTTGATAAGAGACTAAATATTATGGCTGTGACTGGATTTATGAATAAGAATCATGTACAGATATTTCTCCAACACAGGCAATATACAACAATTGTTTGTTGATAGGGCTATTTAAAATTCCTTCTTAGTATTACTAAATTTAAGCCACAATTTCCTCTTAACGGTAGTGTATTTCCTCACTCCAAGCATGTATGTGTATGCTATTGAAAATCATATTTGTGTTGCAAAGTAGTTATTTGGGATGCAACAAATATCTCAACAATAGATTTTGAAATATTTTATTTTGTTTTTTCAAAGGTAAAGTATTCCTGTATTTTCTGTGACAAACTAACACCACCGTATACCATCTTGAATGCAATATTGATTATATCACTTTGTAAAATCTTCTGCCTGAAGTTTATGTTACTGACTCTAGCATCTTATTGGTCTGATAATTGCATTTCAATTTGCCTTGGGAAACCATGCCTGGATTAATTGAGTCATTACTGTTAAAGTTGGTAATAAACAATAATAGGAAATATTTGTCTGTTCAAGTGCTGTTATTGCCTTTAACCATTTTGAATTATTAAACCATCCAAATCAATACTGCTCACTTATTTTTAATAATGAGTTCAATGACATAAAAGTAAACAGTTTGAGGGAATGGCTTTCTCTTTGAATCCCACCCTGTGTTGCTCTGTATGCAGAGTGCAGGGCAAACTTGAAGCAGCTTTTGGCAGTTTTAAAATTATTGTTAATTAACTTTTCTGCTCAAATTCCTGCAAGCTCAACTCTACTTGATGAGTTATCATGCTTCAGTCAATAAATCTTGAAGTAATTTCATAAACATAGTTATTTAACCTAAATTGGATTCTCCATCAATCGAGACAAATCAATTTTTAAATGCCATAGATTGTGAATTTTAATAATATTGGTTTATACTTTTATCGGTTCACACTTCAAAAACTTCACACTCATGCATTATAATATTTTTGCAGAGAAGTACTGAAATAGAATTATTATTAATAGCTATATATATAGTATATGCTTAAAATATATTTATTTATCAAAATTGTTATGTAACAAAGATATACTGTAGTATAGAACAATGAGAAATGAGTTATGAATCAGGAGCCTGAGCTTAGTTCCAACTCTGCCACTTAAAATTTGCAAGAATGCAAACTAGTCCTTTAATTTACAGAGGCTCAGTTTATGTCTTGGCAAAATAGAAATAATGCATTGAATACTTGTAAAGATCAAGAGTTAATGTATCAGAAGTACCTTAGAAAGCAGTAAGAATTTTACATAAATGGGATTATTTTTATTGCCTATTATTTTTGTCTTTCTCATGAATTTAAATTTGTTAAATTCATGTTCTATATAGTGTTAGTTATTTTATATGACTACAATGACTCTAAATTTGTTTCCAAGTTAATCATGGGCTGAGTATAAATATATTTTACAATTTATTAAAGATTTAATCTGTTTTGCTTCAGGGGTTTCTATCTTTATAAATAAGATATAGAAAATGATCTCTTAGAAAAATATGAAAGGAAGCTTCCAGATTAAACACTTTCTGGGTTAAAACTGTAATATTTGATTCTACAAGAATTTAAGCAGCAGTGATTATTTGGTTTGGTTAATAGGTAAATAAATTATTCTCAAAGGAATATATGCATAAAATACATATTACATCAGATAAAGAAAGTCAATAAAATTCTAAAGAAAACAGTTCATTATCTTCTCAGAACTAGGGGATAGGAGAGAAAATCATGTGTTTTGTTTCTTGTAGGTCTTCATTGTATTAGGCATGATTTAGCCATTCATTCATTTATTAATTCAGCTATATATTGACTACGTGTTTCATGTTCATGGCTAGGTGCTAATTATGCAAGGACATGGAAGAATGGTTTGGTTCTGGGATCCTCCTGGTACAGTTGCTGGGGCCAACTTGTAAGAAATGAATACATCAATGTGCCATGTGCCTCAGGGTGCATATCTGAGACACTAAAGACGCATCAAGGGGAGATGTAGTTGAAAATGTCAGGACACCTTTCAAGAGGAAGGGATATTTAGAGCCAGCTGTAACTGATCCGTGTTACACAAAGCCTTCCATTTGTATTTCAGTTTCTTAATTTCCTTTTCTAGTGAAGGATATTTCAGTACTATATTTTGTTAAACCCACACTATGATTTTTATTATTCTGCTTCTATCACATAGATATTAGGTTCTATCTTCTAGTTTCACTTTATTAACTTACAGAGAATTTCAATGGTGCAACAGACTCAAATTTGTTCCTGGAAGATTCTGGGCCAGGAAGCAGGTATGTGGGCTTCAGTGTGGGATTTCCTTAGACAATCTATTTTCCCAACAAGTTCTTAATTGCATCCAAATTCAGAGAGGACAGAAATCCAAATATATATATATATATATACATATCCATATATATGTGTGTGTGTATATATATATATATATATAATTCATATTTTAATTTTATATACCCACTAATTTCTAACCAACTTCATATTCAGATTTGGAACTGAAAGCTGATTATAAAGGAGGCAGAGAGAAGGTGGTGGGGGAGAGGGAGAGTGGTGAGGGAAGATGTTTTAATTGTTCGTATTCACTCCAGTTACCAGTACAATTCACTGGATCTAGAGTACTGAAGGAAAAAGAAATTCTGTGTTTCCAAGGGGAGATGGGATTCTTGTTGCTGAATTTGTGAAAGTTGCTCATGAACTGAATGTTTTCAATCCATCATGAAGCTTCAAATGTCTTTTTTTTTTAACCAGAATATGACTATATGGCTAAGGTCTTAAAAAGGTAGGAACCTATGAAATTCAAAAGATGAAATTTATTCAGGTATGGAAGTTGTACTGGTGAGAACTTTGCTCATAGTTCAAGGCATTTGTAAGTTCTTTTCTGGTCTCAAGGCTTGCTTTTTCTCAGACGTGGTCCTCTTCTCTACCCATGATTTCTGGGGCAGTGTAAGAGAGATTCTTTGTATTCATGGAATGCCCCCCTTTCTTTTCCTTATATCACTCTAGCTTCTGAATATGATCAAAAAGTTCAACCCTTGACTTTCCGAGTCCAGCGTATTTCACTTAGCATGATGTTCTCTGGTTCCATCCATTTACAAGCAAATGCCATAATTTCATTCTTTGTGTCTGAGTAAAACGACTCCATTGTGTATATATGCCACATTTTCTTTATCTGTTCATCTATTCACAGACATCTGGGTTGATTTCATAGTTTGGCCATTGTGAATTGCACTGCTGTGAACATTGATGTGTGGGAGCTGGGATTGTGGCTCAGTGACAGAGTGTTTGCCTCGCCTGTGTGAGGCACTGGGTTCAATCCTCAGCACCACACAAAAATACATAAATAAAAAATAAAGGTATAGTGTCCAATGACAACTAAAATAACAAATTGATGTGCCTGTATCACTACAGAAGGGTGGTTTCAGTTTTTTGGGGGGGATAGCTGGGTCATATGATGGTTCCATTCATAGTCTTTGGGGGAATTTCCATACTGCTTTCCAAAGTGGAAGTACTAATTTGCAATCCAAGCAACAATGTTTGAATGTATTTTTCCCCTAAAAACGTTGCCAGCATTTATTATGATTTGTATAACTGCCATTCTAACTGGAGTGAGGTGAAATCTCAATATAACTTTGATTTGAGTTTCCCTAATTGCCAGAGATGTTGAATATTTAAAAAATATATTTGTTAGCCATTTGGATTTCTTCTTTTGAGAAATGTCTGTTTACTTCTTTTTCTCATTTATTTATGGGATTATTTGGGGTTTGGGGCAGGGGGTGTTAAGTTTTGAGTTTTATATATTCTGCAAATTAATTCTCTGTCAGAGGAATAACTGGTAAAGATTTTTCCCATTCTGTAGACTCTCTCTTCATGCTCTTACCTGTTTACGTTCTTATGCAGAAAGTTCCTAATTTGATGCTGTCCCACTCATTGACTCTTGGTTTTATTTCCTGAGTGTTAGGTGTCTTGTTAAGATGTTGGTGCCTATGCCAATACGTTGAACTGATGAATCTGTTTTTTTCTGGCAGTTGTAAAGTTTCTGTTCCAAGTCCTAGGTTTTTGATACACTTTGAGTTGACTTTTTGCAGGATAAAGGATGGGGATTTAGTTCTATTCTTCTGCACATGGATATCCAGTTTTCCCCACACCATTTGTTTAAAAGGCTATCTTTTTCTACCATATGTTTTTGGCACCCTGGTTGAATATCAGATAATTGTATATATGTAGGTTTTCTCTGTGCTTTTTTTCTATTCTATTGGTCTTTGTGTCTATATTAATGGTAACACCATGCTGTTTTTGTTATTATATCTCTGTAGTATAATTTGAGAAAAGTATTGTGATTCCTTAAGCATCAGTCTTCTTTGGCTCTCTCGTGTATTTTATTTTTCCAAATGTATTTCAGGACTGTTTTTTGTTCTGACTTCTGTGAATGATGTCATTGGAATTTTGATGGTGATTGTGTGGAATCTTTATAATGCTTTTGGTAGTATGGCCATTTTGAAATTAATTCTGTCTATCCAAGAACATGGGGCATCTTTCCATCTTATAAGGTCTTCTTCAATTTGTTTCTTCAGTTTTCTCTGGTTTTCATTATAGAAGTCTTTCACCCTCTTGGTCAGATTTATTCCTAAGTATTGTATTGTATCATATCATATTTCATTTCATCTCATTTATTTTGATGTTATTGTGAATGGGATAGTTTTCCTGATTTCTTCCTCAGCAGATTCATTATTGGAGTATAGGAAAACTATTAATTTTTGTGTGTTCATCTTGTATCCTGCATTTGTATTTTTGTGTGTTCTTCTTGTATCCTGCTACTTTATGAACTTGTTTATCAGCTGTAGAAGTCTTCTGGTGGAGATTTTTGGTCTTC